CAGTCATTTGTTAATAAAATAAAAGTGTCGAATTACTTATACTAATCATCTTTAGTATATAAGATTACCTTTGATGGAGGATATACATGATATTAAAAAAATATTATTTTTAAAATACAAAGAAAGTCACCCTAAAACAATTAGCCACTTAATTTTTCTAAGTCGTTAAGACTAGCGTAGTCTCAAAGGACTTAAATTAATTGTACGAGTTTATATGTTGAAATTTGGTTATCACGGTCGCAACTACTATGCTTTGTTTTTTCTCTTTTTATCCTCATAAACGTAAACGTGTGGCTTAAGCTTAAGGCATAATTAATGAGGCATTTATGGATACAATCATGTACAACAGAAGCGTGAGAGTATTATGTGATATGGAAACTGACTTCGTCATCTTCATTATTTATTTTTTTTGGCTTTAGTTAGGGAAGGAATAGGTCTAGTCGTTGGTTGCTGACTATTATTTACACCAACAAAACCAAGTGTCTCTTTATCATTCGACCTTTTGCTCCCTCAATTTATTGATGGGACAAAATTTTGGACTTTCCTAAAGCCGTCTTTTTAATTATAAAATAATTGGTTAATTTAATTACATTTTTATTTGAATTATATAAGATATTGAAAGCACTTTGTTTTTTTTTTTTTTTTTTTTTTATAAAAAAAAAATAAAAAAAAAACATCTTGACACAACCCCTAGCAATATGAAGTCCATTTCACTTACGGTTGTTGAAATAATGTCATAAGGACCGGAGAGACATACAAAATGCATATGGGCCAGCAGTAATAAAGTAGGATTAGGATATAGTTGAGGAAAAGTCTCAGCTAGTTATTGGTCATTTAAATTTTTTCCAGCTATTAAATTTATAAAAAAAAAATGAATTATTAGTTAGAAAATAAAATAAAAACATCTTGACACAACCCCTAGCAATATGAAGTCCATTTCACTTACGGTTGTTGAAATAATGTCATAAGGACCGGAGAGACATACAAAATGCATATGGGCCAGCAGTAATAAAGTAGGATTAGGATATAGTTGAGGAAAAGTCTCAGCTAGTTATTGGTCATTTAAATTTTTTCCAGCTATTAAATTTATAAAAAAAAAATGAATTATTAGTTAGCAGAAGTTAAGTTTATGTGTCAAGAATTTAATCTGTCATTAAATTAATTCGTCAAATTATTCTATCATCACTCAATCTTTGTAATTGTAAGAACGAATGATAACATTTTAGATTTTTGAAAGATTAAGAGAAGTTTTAATACATGGAATTTAATCGAGACATGTACACAAGTTATTTTTAACCTTAGATCTTAATTGTTTGTATGTCAGGTTAAATGAAATTGATTCAGGGTATTTTTTTCAAATAGGTATTAACTTTGGTCATTTTGATCTTGTAAAAAAAAGTTACTAATTTGGAAACCAACATTTTTAAAGCCCCATTTAGCATTACACATGTCACATGTATAAAGGAGTTATAAGGTTGGTTTCCTGACTTGAGAGAGAGATAAAAGGTTGGAGTGATAAAGAATGTGTGGATTCATTTTTTTAATTAATATAATAACTAATAATTAATATTTATTGATAAATAATAAATAAATATGTCACATGTATAAAACTTATATATATATATATATATTACTTAAATATATTTTTAGTTATTATAAATTGAGAGAATTTTTTATTTTAATTTTTATATTTTTTTCATCCATTTAAAATTTGGAATCACTATTTTTATCCATGTAAAATAAATAATTTTTTTTGTATAAAATATTTTAAGGTGGATAAATAATATTTGTTTTAAAAATACATGCAAAATTTTATAGACATCATATGTTAACATAATATCACATATAATTATGGATATCACTCAAGGTGATTATTTAAGTTTTTGTTATGATAAACACATAAGTAATTTATAAAGATTATATAATAGTAATTCTAATTATTCTAAATCTTAAAAGGATGGAAAATAAGGAAATTTTTTATGAAACAATCAAAATCAAAATTTTTTCTTTACATACACTATAAAAATATTTAAACTTTATTTTTTATATAAAAGACCAAAAAGAATATTATATGGTAGGTTTAATATGTCAATTGGTTTCTAAACTTTTAAAGATTTTTAATTAGTAAAACTAAAAAAATTGTAATTGAATCATTTTTTCTAATATTTTTATAATTTAGTCTTTAGAGTCAGAAGAATCTTTTAAAACCCAAGGAATTTTACAAAATATTATTTATATCCTATACTTGGACTACATATCATATTATTTTTCATGACATCATCCATGTATATCAGGTTTGAATCTCTACTTGTAAAAATTTATATGTAATCTCACTCTCACTAATCATAAAAATTCTTAAATAATAACAAATTTTAATCGATAAGAGCTAAAACTTGTTATATGTGGCTAATCACATAAAATGTATGAGAGAATAAAGTATTATGTTAAATTTTATAAAATTATAAATATTTTTTTTTAATATTTGATTAGGAAGTATGATTCTTCCACCATAGGGGTGATTATAGGGATAAAATGATATCTTTAGTTGTGAACATAAGTCTCAAAACATTTAAGTTAACCATTTTTGATATTTTTAGCATTGTAAATAAACCTTTAATTAACTTAAAGGAGTGAATTACACAATATATATATATATATATATATATATATATATATATTCCTTCATGGTGAAGTATTTAAAAAAGGGCTTGAGCCAATCAGAAATAGCTTAAAACAATTTGTGGCAGTAAATGACCCCTTGTTATAAATCATAACATATAAAAGGGGGAGAAAAGAAGAAGACGAGGGGAGCTTTGGAAGAAACGACACACCTGAACCATCTCTTTCTCTCTAGACTTGAAGATCATCCAAGTTGAAGATTTTGGTGGGGATTTCGACGTTTCGGGAGCGGAATGATGACAATTTTTACTAGATTCTTCTTCTTCTTCTTCTTTTGTTGGTTGGCTCTCATGGAAATGAGTAGCTAATCTTTTCCTTTTGGGATTGGATGTAACCTCTTACACCTTAATGTAACTCTTGATTTTCACATATATGTTATGATCTCTTCTACTTATTAGTGATTCATTTTCGTTCTTAATGCCTTTACGTTTTGATCACTCGTATTTGGAGCTTTGATTTAGAACTCAATTGGAAAATGTTTTCTAGATCATGATTTAAAATGAATCACCTAATGGTTTAAGTTGCTAGGAATAGAGCTAAAATCATTAGTCTTTAAAGGATTTTCTTAATGCAGGTTGTCCCTTATTTAAATATGCTGACATGTTTCACCGTATCAACACTTGGTTTGGATGGTGTTGAGGCCAACATTTGGTTTGGATGTGTTGGTTACATCATGGATTATACAGTGGTGTGACTTTGTTTTGGATATGGAATATGTATACATATGGTATGGATTGTATACATTGGTTATGGATTATTTTATTATCATAAAATATGTATACATTGGCATGGACGTGTATACATTATATTTTGGGTTGGTCTATATTTAGCTTGAAAATGACTTGTTGGTCTGGATAAATACTGTGGATAAATATCTGTTTAATGATATTTTATTATGATGTACTATGGTTGGTTTTATATGTGCTAACCCTTATATTTCCATGATGTGGACTGTGATGATCTCACTATGTGGGGGAGCAGATCAGGTATGAGGCTTTGGGATAGCAAGGAGTCTTTTGGATAGCTGCTTTGAGAAGTGGCTAGGTTTAGAGCTTGACCAGCACCTAGGGTGTCTTATTTTGATGTTTTCATGACGTTGTAATTATATTATCTTTTTGGATTATTGTATAACTTTACTGAGGATGATGACTCTGTTATAAAAGATTATGTTATATATTTTGGAAACAATTTATATGTTATTGTATATTTATACTCTAGCGTAGTTGGCTTTTGCTCTATTTTCTTTATTTTATATTATTTTATTTTGGTTGGTTATTGATGTGACGGCCTAGGGTGGGTCGTTACATTTATCTCTATCAACTCAACAAGGCTTAAGCTATATTAGAAGGGCTTAAGCCATTCCAGAGAAATTAAGATTACAATCTGCTAAAAAAAGGCTTAAGTCATTCCAGAAAGGCTTAAGCTATTTTAGTTCCTTTAGGGTGAAGTATTTAAAAAAAGGCTTAAGCTATTTCAGAAAGGCTTAAGTCATTTCAATTCCTTCATGGTGAAGTATTTAAAAAAGGGCTTGAGCCAATCAGAAATAGCTTAAAACAATTTGTGGCAGTAAATGACCCCTTGTTATAAATCATAACATATAAAAGGGGGAGAAAAGAAGAAGACGAGGGGAGCTTTGGAAGAAACGACACACCTGAACCATCTCTTTCTCTCTAGACTTGAAGATCATCCAAGTTGAAGAATTTTCAAACTACACAAATAAAATAATTTGTAATTAATTAATAATAAAATATATTTACACTAAAATCTCGTCCAACTACAAACAGCCTAATAGTAAAGAAGAGTTAAAATAATATTCACAAAGTCTTAAATTTAAACTTTATTATTGTGATTGTAATTCCCTTAAATAAATAAAAAATCTTTTAAATATAAAAGTCAATCTCATTCGTATGTATGCTGGTAGATATATATTTGATAAACATGTAACTCAGTAAATACAAATGTGTTTTCTCAAAGAAAATAAAAAAGTTGAAAAAGAAGGTACATTATTGAAACAAATTGCAATAAATTGCATACAACTGTATTGTCCTTACACAATTTAACTAATTAAAAAGAAAATGGTAAATGGAGAAGCCACCTACCTTGGGAAAACAGGCTCCTAGTTCGTTCGTAGTAGGCAAGTGCACCTTACAAGCCAAGGAAAGGACAGAACTGATTCTTGATTTTCTTCTTTTTTTCTCCAAACACACATTTCTCTTCCTTCAAACATAGCACTCCTTAGATTCTCTTTCCATGTCTCTCTCCATATATACACATCATTATCAACTTAAATGTCACCTTTATTATTTCCATCATCAGAAAAACGTTCCCCCTTTTTCAGCCATTAATCCTCAAAAGTCTCCAACGTTTTGTTAAAATTCCAACTTTATTTCACTAAATTTGACTACCCTCTATGCTTATCACACAGATCATAGCATAGAAGGTGAAAAGTATAGTGTAAAACCAAATGCCTCATCTGCTACACGGAACGCTTAAGGTGACCATATATGAAGTTGATAGATTACATACTGGATGCCATTTCGATTTCTGCCAGAAGGTATCTTCATTAAAACTCTCTTGTTCCATTCATTAAGTAAATTAAGTAGAACAAAATATTAAGAGTTTAATTTTTCATACCATGTGTTTGGCAAATATCACTAAAAGAGTTGGACTTCCAAAGTAATTAAATGGTTATCCATTAAATTGGGAGGAGGAATGGTCAGCACAAAATGCTATTAATTTGCTACTAAGTAATTAATGTCCCCTGTTTGAATTTTATAAATAAAAAAAATATTATTAAAAATCAGATCCTAATAAAAGATATTAATTAATTTTTTTTTATAAAAATTAGTTATTAGTAAAATTTATAAATACTTCGTGTCAATGATATAATTAAAAAAAAACTTTTATATCTCTTTTTATGAAAAGATAAAGAAGAATGAATTTTTCTGTCATTTCTTTTAATGGAAGTAAAGTCTAAAAAAACAAGGGGTAAGAATAATGTGATTGGATTTTCAATGCATATACTAGAAAAACAAATATCGATAAAAAAAATATAATAGAAAAAGTATTAGAAAAATGAATGTTTGCAATTTTATACAAGAAGGATAAGCGAGACTAACAAAAATATTCATATTCATAGGTATTCATAAATAAAATCTATCATGGATAATAAATAGGTAGCTTAGATGGATAGGCCCAGATAATGGATATGAGTATTTTTTTTATCCATTTATAAATGGGATGAAAGTGAGGACAGTAGTATCTATACACGTAGGTATCCTCTAAATAATATTACTTAAATATTTATATTTTTGTCTCATATTTTTTATATTATTTTTTATATTTCAAAAAATTATCATTAATTACAAGTTCAAAAATTAATATCAATTTATCTTTAATATTTCAATATACTTAATATCAAATATAAACTTAAATTTATTTATAATATATTTTTAATTTTTAAAATAATTTACAAATATCCATGGATACCCACAAGTATTTAAAAAATTCACGGGTACCCGTTAAACGGATACTTACGTAGGTTAGTAGGTATGGAGTAAGTACATGACAAATTTTTATTTGTCGGGATAGGTACGGATATCTTACCATCCGCCCCTATGAGGCCCCATTGCCATCCTTAGACGAGTCGGGGCTAAAAATAATATTAACTAGATATGGAGTTGCGCCATCATAGATAAAAAAAATATATTATTTAAATAAAAAATATATTATTTCATTATTTAATTAATGTGTTAATTTTAAATATAATTTTTTAACAATTGGTAGAAATTTGAAGTTATATATAAAAATTTCTAAAGTAATAAGTGATTTGATATAAAAAGACAACTAAAAATAATATTATAAAAATTTTATATAAATAATTCTTCTTTTCATTTTTTTTCTTGCCAAATTAACTATTGTATTAACAAATAAATTAAAATCTATGTTCAAACACACACAAAAAATCCACAAATTAAAAAATTAAATAAAATTGAAGTACTTGTCTTTGCATCTTTTTTGTCTATAATATCGAAGCTTCTATTAGCTTCTCATATTTCATATAACAATTCCTTATACACGGAAACAAAATACCAAAAACTCAAGTTCATAGAGAAAGTGTTATTATGTTTATCTAATTTTACTATTATTCTTCTAATGTGGTTATCCCATGTGTGAAAAAAATGAGAGAAGTGAAAAAAGAAAAGAAGAAAAAAAGTAGTACCTTATATTTCCAATGAAGATTGCAATGTAAAATAAAAATTAAACTATAGAGAGTGAGAATGGATTAGATAAAGTATGAAGATATAATGTAGAGAGTGGAAGGGAGATGTAATAATACATAAAATTGCAAAAAAATTGATAATAGAAAAAAAATTTAGTACCTTTTAATTTTGTTGATGATTACAATGAGATGAGAGTTAGACAATAAAATAATGAGAGGTGAATTGAATAAAATGTATAGGAAAGATGTAATATAAAAGATAAAGAAGAAATATAATAGAAGATAGAAATGTAAAGAAAAAATAGTACTTTGTATTTTTCATATAGATTGCAGTGTGAAATAAAAATTAAACAATAGAGAGTGAGAAGTTAATTAGATAGAGTATGAATGTATAATATAAAGAGTCGAAAGGAGATGTAATAATAAATGAAATTGCAAAGAAATTGACAATAGAAAAAAGATATCTTTTAATTTTTGTTGATGATTATAATGAGATGAGAGTTAAACAATAAAAACGTGAAAGGTGAATTTAATAGAATGCATAGAAAATATGTAATATAAAGGATAAAAGTAAAAATATAATAGAAGATTAAAATGTATAGAAATTGACTCACAAACAAATATGTTTGTGTGATAAGATGTGAAATTAATTTTATGATAATATGTCAGTATAATAATGTTTAACTCATTTTTTTTTATTATAAATAAATAAATTGAAGAATAATTTAGAAGATTAGTAATAGTATAAGAGAATGAATAAATATCACTATCAAATAAAAGTCTTAATTTATCAATATATTACATTCACGATGAGTTTATAGTAGCTAATAATTTAGTTTGGACATATAATCAATCATATTTATCTTATTAATTTAACATATATGTATTCTATCAATATAGTTACATTTTTAATTAATAAAAATCATCCTTATAAGTTTTCAGTTAATTATTTTATAAGAAACAAACTTATCATCCATATTAGTTTATAATTCAATGAGTAGGAAGAACATGTATCATTTATTTTTAGCTAATTAATCATTAAAAAGAAATAAGAGAAAAAACTTGCACATAGCATGATTACCCTAAACATAATGTGACCTTACCCTCCTAAAAAGCAAACTAAGCATGTGTATTGCTAATTAAGGTATATTCTGTAATGAGTTCTCCTATTTAAGCTCTGTAACATGTCAGCACTTCGTGATTTACTTTCGAAGAGAAATTAACATGTTTAAGCTCTTTGACTTTGTATTCCGTTTTCTTGTTAAAAATATGAAAAACAAAGGACACTACACACAAGGGGAAGAGATTTCTGGCCCAAGTCAAGGGTTGTTTGCTGTGTCGGCCCGAGGTATGTTAACCAATGACCAACTTCTCTTTGTTTTAATAAGTGGCTCTTTAACCCAAGCGTTTTTACTAGTAAAGTATAAGTGTGTTTGTTTAGTAGATTCAAAAATTATTTTCAGAAATGTAAATTTGGAAACGTAATATTTTTATGTTTATTATAAGTTTTAAAAGCTATTTTCAGATATTGTTGATTTCTGGAAAAGTAATAATGTAATGTATTTTACTTCATGTTTATTCTTATAATAAAGGGTGAGAAAGTAATATTCATATGAAAATGTCAGAAAATAATTTTTAACACCCTTATAACTATTTTTTTTCTTAATTTTAATTTCATTCATTTTTAATTTTAAAAGATATTCTTAGGAATATTAAAATCTAACTATAAACATTTTTTGAATTTATTAACATTCATGATTATAATATTTTTGAGAATATATATTTATATTTGAAACGAATGCAACACATTGTTTTATTTATCCTAACATGTAAAAACTTGATGAAGATTGTTGGGACAAGACTCTATGCAACAGTTGATTTAGACAAGGCGAGAGTTGGACGAACTCGAATGATAGGAAACCAACCCTCTCACCCAAAGTGGAACGAATCCTTTGAAATCTATTGTGCCCATCAAATCTCAAACATTATATTCACAGTGAAAGATGGTAACCCAATTGGAGCAACTCTGATTGGAAGAGCTTACATCCCCGTGGAGCAAGTTCTCAAGGGCTCCATAGTTAAGCGATGGGTTGAGATATTAGATGAAGAAGATCACCGTCCCGTACCAGGACACTCCAAAATCCGTGTCAGCGTGCAATTCTATGATGTTGCTGAGGACACAACATGCCTTTGGTCTCAGGGGATAAGCATGCCATTTTTTGGAGTTCCTCGTACATTTTTCAATCTAAGAGAAGGTTGTAATGTTACATTATACCAAGATGCTCATGCCCCACGTGGCATCAGTGTTGTCCCATTTATTCCAATATCTGAAGAAATAGACTACCTACCTGGAAGATGTTGGCAAGACATTTACAATGCCATTGTGGATGCTAAGCACTTTGTTTACATAGCTGGTTGGTCTATTTACACTGAAATAGCCTTAGTTAGAGATAGAGAGGAAGCAAATATCACCCTTGGTGAGTTACTTAAGAAGAAGGCTGATGAAGGTGTTAGAGTTCTTTTGCTTGTTTGGGATGACAGAACTTCTGTTCCAAATTTCAAAAAAGATGGCTTGATGGCAACACATGATCAGGAAACTGCTGCTTACTTTAGAAACACAAATGTGCATTGTATTTTGTGTCCACGAAACCCAGATGATGGAAGAAGCATAATTCAAGGCTTTCAAATCTCGACAATGTTCACTCATCACCAAAAAAGTGTAGTTGTTGATAGCCATGATGTAGGATCATCACAAAAACGAAGTGTCATAAGTTTCATAGGTGGAATTGATCTTTGTGATGGCAGGTATGATACCAGGGATCATCCTTTATTTTCAACATTAGGTACTGTACATCGAGATGATTTCCATCAGCCAAACTTCCCTGGTGCGTCCATCGATAAAGGTGGTCCAAGAGAGCCGTGGCATGACATTCATTGCAGGCTAGAAGGACCTATTGCTTGGGATGTCCTATACAATTTTGAGCAAAGATGGGAGAAGCAAGTTGGGAAGGAATTATTACTCTCACTTGATGATCATGATCAAATTCTGGTCCACCCATCTGAAGCAAAGATATCAGATGTAGGAGAAAAAGATACATGGACTGTTCAATTGTTTAGATCCATTGATGGTGGTGCTGCTTTTGGCTTTCCCCAGACCCCAGATGAAGTTGCTGAATTAGGCCTTGTTAGTGGGAAAGACAATGTCATTGAGAGAAGCATTCAAGATGCCTATATTAATGCTATTAGGCGTGCAAAAAATTTCATCTACATTGAGAACCAATACTTCCTTGGGAGTTCATATAGCTGGAAAGCAAGTGATGGTATTGTGGTTGAGGACATTGGTGCTTTGCATCTCATACCAAAGGAATTGTCATTGAAGATTGTAAGCAAGATCAAAGCACGAGAAAGGTTTTCTGTGTACATAGTGATCCCAATGTGGCCCGAAGGTATACCTGAAAGTGAATCAGTTCAAGCAATATTAGATTGGCAAAAGAGGACCATGGATATGATGTATTCTGACATTGCTAATGCCTTAAAGACAATGGGGATTCAAGCACATCCTCGTGATTATTTGTCATTTTTTTGCCTTGGCAATAGGGAGCACAAGGAAGCAGTAGAGTATACTCCTCCACAGGAACCAGATCCTGATACTGACTATAAAAGAGCACAAAATGCTAGGAGGTTTATGATCTATGTTCATTCCAAGATGATGATAGGTATGGCATCAAATACCATTTTATTTAGATGTTAACGTTATTAATTACTCATCTAAGATCTTCTATTGCTACTTGTTATGGAACATTTAATTTCAATCTCCATTTTTGGCTATAAAGTGATGATATATCGATACTCAATACATTACATAAGCTTAATAATCACTCTTCATTTTTATTTATTTATCTCTCTTCTCACCTGATTGTTTCACATATCACATCTACTCTCATGTTTTGTATTTCTTTCTATTTTTTGGTTGTATATGGACACATGAGTGTGCCTCAACCATTTTTTTCTTGATTATATGTTTTTTCCACGTTTGGTCATGAATTAACAAATTAGTATTTGATTTTTGCTTCCATCAGTTGACGACGAATACATAATCATTGGTTCTGCTAACATAAATCAGAGATCAATGGAGGGTGCAAGAGACACTGAGATTGCAATGGGTGCATTCCAACCACGTCATCTAGCATCGAATGGACGACCCAGAGGAGACATTTATAGGTTTCGACGTGCACTATGGTATGAGCACCTTGGGGATAGTGGTATTAACACAAAAATCTTTGATAATCCAGAACATTTGGATTGCATCACCCTTGTGAATAGTCTTGCTGAGACTAACTGGGACCTGTACTCAAAGGAAACATTTGATAAAAATAGAATTTTCCACCTCATGTGCTACCCCATACAAGTAACCTACGATGGAGCCATAACAACCTTTCCAGGGTTTGAGCATTTTCCTGACACCAAAGCTCCAATTTTGGGTTGCAAATCAAAAATCCTTCCTCCAATTCTCACCACCTAGTGTTGTGTGTATATGAGTAACTAACTAGAAACAAAAAAGTTTAACTTTGCAATGACTTCTAGGAACATTACAACATATTGCTATTTTTAATAATAAATGAAACTTCTTGTCTTTATATAGAAACCTTTTACTATTATTGAGACCTAGAATTAAGCTCAATTTATTATTGTTTCTCCAAGACTATTTTCTTTATTGAATGTTATTCCCCACCTCAATCCAGCAAGATATAAACATTACTTGTAAATTAATTTTCCTCATTATAGAATGAGTGAAATGGATTGCAATTAAAGTAAATTGTGGCTATATATTATTAAGGTTATTTTTATACTTATTTGATATAGATATATTTATTGAGATATATTTATTTAGATGGGATCTATATTATATCTTGTTATTTTTATTGATTATTTATATATTATATATATATATATATATATATATATTAGTTTATTGGATTAAATGATAGGTCAAGATAGATTGATTTGCCTAATTTTTATTTTTATCATCATCATTATTAATGTTAAGTTTAAATAAGTAATATAAGATTTATTATGCAAGTAATCTATGATTTGTTTTATAGTAAATTTGTTATACATTATTTCAATATATATAATTTGAGATTTTTTGTACGACAAATTTGTTAAGAAATTTATTATTATTATAATTACATATACATTTTATTATGTAGCAAATTTGATATTTGTTGTAAAAAAAATAATCAAACTAAATTTGTTGTAATCTGAGATTTATTTTATTATTTATGCAAACTAATTTATGTGAGTCTTTTAGATATTAAGAAAGAAATATGTAAAAAGAGGTATTCAAATTAAAATAGACTTAAATATGCTTTTAGTCCCTATAAAATTAGCAAGTTTTGATTTTAGTCCTTGTAAAATTTTTCCTTTATTTTTCATCCTTATAAAATTAGAACTATTGTTTTTAATTCTTACTTTATATGACCATTATTTAACTACTTTTTATTTATTAAAAAGTTAAGTAATCATCTTAAGTGTACCTACAATATATTGATATTTAACACCTCTAAAAAAATTTATAGACCTTTAAAATAAATGTTATTTATCTACCTTAAAATGACTATTAGGGACTGAAAATAGTTAGCTTAGATTTTAGAGAGATAAAATCTAAAGAAAAATATTTTACAGGGATCAAAATCAAAATTTAATCATTTTACAAGGATAAAAAATAATGGTTATAAATTTTAGAAGGATGAAAAATAAAGAAAAAATTTAGAGGGACCAAAATCAAAATCATCAATTTTATAGGGACTAAAAACATATTTAAGCCTTCAAAATAAATATGCAAAAAAATTTCTTTTTCAATTTTTTTTAATGGGCTGACGAGTCAATATCCACCCTTAGGCAGAACAGGTTAAAGTGTCTAACTTACTTTCACTTGACGAACTAGCTCGGTCCAACTTGTTTTTGGCAAGCTAACAATAGGGCGAGTCAAAACAAGATTGAATTAGTCCATTTTTTCATTCTACTTGTGAAAATCAACTCTAATATATTAAATATGAATATTTATTTTACACAAAAGTGTTTTTAGGATCTTTTCTTCAATAAGAGGGTTTGTATGAATTTTTTTAACTTCATATCTAATTCAATTTTTATTTTTCATAATTACTTATTAATTAGATGTTGATATTTTAAAATAAATTATCAATAAATAAAAAAATTACAGTACAAATTATTTATCATAAATCTAAAATATAATTTATAAATTTAAAAATATTTATATATACTTATTTTAAATATAATTTATATATTCAAATATAATTTTTTATGTATAATTTATTATAAGTTTAATTATATTATATATAATAAACTTGTATGTGCATTGCACAAATTAAAACACCAATAACTAAATAAACTTAAAGTAAAATATTACTATTCTATTAAAAGATTAATTGAAAATAGTCATTGTCATTAAATTGTTTATCTTGATAATAGATGAGTCAAATTGGTTGCAATGAAAGTAAGAGAAATAAAAGCAATACATTCTCTTTAATTGACTGAAATTTATTATAAGTATTGGGTCTCACATAACATTTAATATTTCTCTCTTAATTTTATAAATTTTAATAAATTTTAACCAATAAAAATAAGTGTAGTGCTAACACTTTTTATAACAATAAATTACAATTCTATTGGACTTTACTTATAATATTTGGGTTTCGGATCCTAAAACTACATATTACATAAAGATAGAGAAAAGACTAATATTTAGAATAAAATAAGACATGATATAAGAGTAGATAGAATACGAGTAGGATATGATAAAAATTGGATAAACATTAACGTTATCATATGTTTGATGCACATCATGATAACAAGTATAATGACATTATTATATTATATATTATGTATTTAATATATACCAATAAGATATTATATAAATTATATTCAAATATATAGTAAAAGTTATATTTCATTAAAATTACATATGATTTTTTAAAAAATAAGTTTTAATTTAATTGTTTAAAAATTCAAATTAAAATCATAATTTCAACTATATAATACAAAAAATATTTGTAATATATTTTTCTTAAAATTATATTATATAAATTATAATTATTATTCAAATATTTTCTAAAAAACTATTTAAATAATAGTTTTTATTTTAATATTTTAGCTAATAATTGAATGCAAATTTATAATATAAATTAATATATGAATATAACATTACTATATAAATTAATATTATATAATATATATATATATATGTTATATATTCCACAAATTAATATTTAATACTGTATATGTTATTATTATTACATTTTTTTATACTTTGTATAATATATGATATAATATATATATATATATATAGAGTGAGAGAGAGAAAAAATAGATATTATCTTATCAAAATACTTCTTAATTCAACTCCTTTCTTAGGTTAAAAAATATACTAAACTAATCGAATAGGGTAAAACTATCATATCATATTATTCTATCTTATTTTGACTATCAAAAGGGTTAATTGTAATTAATTTTTTATTTTATTGATCCAATCATATTGAATATTGTCGACCCTTGCTTTTAAGATAACAATGAATATATTTTTCTTAAATTGTACTTTTAATTTTCTTAATTTTTTAAAATAATGATTTGATATTTCTATTTTAAAAATAAAAATATTTAATCTCCTTAATTTTAACATAGTGGCATATTCTAGTCCTAAATATGTAGCTATGTTACTAAAAAGAAACAAACAAAGTCATATATTAAAAAAAAAATAATTAACCATGTAACTCATGTGAGTTGCTGCACATAGTCTTTATATATTTTTTACACTTTCATGTAATATCATATTATTTTTATTACTTTCTACAACTCATAATTTTTTTCTCCAATACTTTTAAAAAAGTTTCTTAAATAAATCTAAAACTAAAGATTAATTCATTGAGTTATTTAAAATTTATTTAAAAAGTTGATGTCTTTCAATAAATATTTTATTCATACAAATAAATTAAAAACCAAATCTCTTATTACATACTTAAGTTTCAAAATTATCTACCAACCATATCATATTGTTGATATTAAAATATTGTTCATATTTACTCTAAACCACATTTAATATTGCATTAAAATACAAGTCGTCTCCAAAGAAAAAAAAAAAACAGTACGTTGTTCTATTAAACAACTCATTATTTTCTCAATTTTCAATGATCGAAAAATACGTGGACCAATTAATATACAGTTGTTTTGGTTTACTAATTGTCTCAAATATTATATATGCAATTCTGTTAAATACTAAATTTTTTTGACATGATATGCTCCTCTAACATATCTTTCTTATTTTTCATAATTACTTTAATAATTCCTCGTAAGTTATTATTTATGCAGGAAACAGGGTCAATATGTCATTACTTTAATAAATGTTTTACTATTATTTAAAAAAAAAGGTGATTTATTAAATACTAATACTTACGGTTAGGTGAGAAAAAGGATTATGATAAAAGTGAGAAGATTTAAATTCGAATCATATTTTTTAATCTTTCTTATAGAGAAAAAATAATAAGTTGATAATTAAAAAGTATCCGGTTCATATCATGAATGTTATCTCTTTGGAGGATAAAAGTTCCAATGAATTTAAAATTTGATTTTTTTTTCCTTCAAATTTTACTGTGGAAAATCTGAGAAACTTTTCTATAGAAAAGTTATTCATAGGAAAATTCACAGTAATTTTACAAGAAATTTTCTTGTAAATTTTGAATTTAATAGGTAACTTAATTTTCCTGCGAGTATATTTCTGCAAAAAGAAAATTGTATAGGTAAATTTCCAGCGATTTAAAAAAAATCTAATTATTTTTTAACATATTTTTAGAATTTCTATAATAATCATAAACCCTAAACCATAAACCCTATATTTCTGCAAAAGAAAATTGTATAGGTAAATTTCCAGCGATTTAAAAAAAAATCTAATTATTTTTAACATATTTTTAGAATTTCTATAATAATCATAAAAATTCATTTATTTATTTATTTATTTTGTGATTTCTAATTTTTAATTAATTTATACGTATTTATTAACACAAGTGAGACTCATTAGAAATATGTAAATAAAATTAAAAAAAACTTTACATATTTCATTGGTATTTAATTTTTTAGTATATTATGTTTCTTTAAAATTAAGTAAAAGTAAATTAATGAGTTTATATACGGTATCTGAGTATAAAATATGAAGAAGAAAAATGACTGTAACTATTTAATTTTATATAATTAGTCAATGTTATATTCAGGAAAATTAATATCAATTAATTATTTGTTAAAATTCTTAATTTTGATATAATACGATAAAATCCATTAAAAGTGAATTATCGAATCCAAAATTACCTTTGTCTCATTCAGGATTTTGATTCTTGGTAGTGCAAAATGAACTTATCTCAATCAGAGATTGATTTTAATAAAAGAACACATGATAAAACTGATTAAAAAATGAAAAACACAATATTATAACTGCACTAGACTTTAAGTTCCTAGTGCAATAGGTATATGGTGACAAGTACAAGATTCCCATTCAGAATTGTTTGCAACTGTCACTGTTGGCATATGTTAATAAGGTACGGATTAACATTTTATGAGATAAGTAATCAATTTATAGGCTTATAATCACTAGGAATGTAACTAACATGTGTTAATTAATATTGAAAATTCTTAAATTAACGATAACAGTGTGGTAGTAATAATGATAGTGATAACAACAATCAATAGTGATAACATTGATAAAATCTATAATAATGATGATAATAATAATGATAACAGTAGAATAATGTAATGATATGACGGCCGTGTGATTGAGGTATAGACAATAATAATTGCAACAACAATAATACCGAAAATAATGATAAAATAAACTAAAATATTAATAATGTACTTAATAACTTTAATTGTAATTTTTAAATCTTAATAATTTATTTTAATTTAAGGATTATTGTTAATTATTTTCATTCTAATAAGTGTTCTCATTTGAGTCGTCTTCCATGCACACATGGACGGCATTTTCTTTAGACTGACATAAGATTTTGCTTCAGGCTATTCATACACACAGCGTTTTCTTTAAACTAATGTAACATTTGGCTTCAAGCTATTCATGGTTCAAGTTAGACAAGTTTTTCCATGAAATGGACTTAACTAAAACCAGAGGAGAATTGGTTGGAAGCGAATTAGCGAAGTACATGCAGTGATTGGGAATGACCGGTTATTGTGGTAGGATTTGTGTTCGGAATATGGAGGCTGAATACTAACCAGTATATTCTGTCTGCAAAACTAAGGCTAATCAACGTCTAAAAAGATAAAATATTACTACTTGAAGAACCAAATATATATGAATCATTCTAAGAAAGTTGTTGTCATAGGTTTATATCCAAAGAAAGATATTAAGCAGTGAGGCAAACAAGTCCTAATGATCCGATGAGAGCTTTTGCATCAAGGTCAAGTTACTGTGCAATCACTTGAGTTGATCCGGTCAGAGAAATATAAGGTACAAAAAGAGTACGGCAGTGAAAGAATTTGAGTTTAATACTGTCATTTACACAATCAACCAATCACTTGAATCACATAATTTGAGTTTATACAACTTTTAAGATAATCATTATAAAAGTTAATAAACTTATCATATATGTGAATTTTAATTGGATGATAGTGTAAATTTTACATTGATAGTGCATCCATTAAACCACGTAATTTACTACAAAAGTTGGCTTGTACAACTTGGCCATCCATGAACATATTTATTACAACCTGTAGTTTAGTATATATATAGAACAGAGCAATTCTACAGGAAATCTGAACTGACACAAATAACTTGCATTTTTTCATATTCTTATATAACATCTCTAACATCCATCCATCTGAATCTATTTCAGCCAATACCATTCACCAATTTTTTTAAGTTTCAAGAAATTTTTTGATGAATAAGTACTGATGTGTACACTGTGGTTACACGCGCCCTTTGTATTTAAAAAAGTTCCGAATACAAATTCAAAGGTGCATTTCAACTGATCCAAGTAGTTTTGCACATACATTCATGAACAATCTTTTATATTCTCACAGACCAAGGTACTACTTGGGAATTCCATATTTCCCCTCCTATCTGTCCAACGTTAAATTCTAATCCATCCTCTGGTCCCATTGGAATAGTCTAGTGAAGAAAAGGCATGAACAAATTAATTAAGTGAAATAGGTAGTTAAATGGTTCCCTAAGCATCCCTAGTAGAATACCTCTTCCTTGAATGTGAAGGCGGGAACTAATTCCAACTTGGGAAATTGCAAAAGTATCTCTATTCTTCAAACTTGTGTTTATACACAATATATCTCTTGCTTGAGAATTAAGACACAATATGTACCATATTCTCCTTCTTAATACCCATCTCCACACTGCTATAAAATGCATTAAATTACATTATATTAAGAGGACTTCACCATACCATCGTCAACATTTTCCACTCTTTAACCTCCATTTCCATGTAAGCATGTTTACCACAGAAAAACTTTCCTTTTCCATTGTTGCATGTAATTGATTTTAGCTATTTCATAAAATCTTTCCGTATAGTCGCATTACCTCTTGGCTTATACATCACTTATATTTTTTCCACAAAACAGAAAGGGAGAGACATAATGTCACGTTTGCTGCATGGGAGGCTCGATGTGATCATATACGAGGTCGACACATTACCAACTCTTAACGATTGCAATTTCAATCTCTGCTGCAAGGTGCCTTAATCCAAAAACTCCTATCTTGTTCTAATCTTCAATCAATATATAATTGCAAACTATTTTTTTAATATATATAATCATACTACCGATACAAAATATTTATCAATTTTACTGATAATTAATTATTATGGATTATAAATGTTTTAAGAAAATTAAAATTGAAAAAGATAGGAAAAAATAAGAATGGTAGAAATAAAATTAAAAGTATATAATTTAAATAAAAAAATTAAATGGATAAAAATAAAAGAAGTAATGATAAAAAAAATTATATAAAAAGGTTTAAAGAACTAAAAAATATTACTTTTTTCTTATTTTTCTTAACATTATATTTTAAAATTTTAAGATGATAATTTTTAAGAAATTAAAAACAAAAACAAAAACAAAAGAGAGAGAGAGAGAGAGAGATTCTATCACTTATAAATTTTCCCAATTTGAGATTAAAATATTTGTTTTTAGGTTTCACACACACAAAAAAAAATCCCATTCAAGGAAAAGATGAAAATTGGTATTTCTATCTTTTTTATATCATATTTATGATTTCTTATATTTCTCATTTTCCTTTTCTTCCTTCATATTTTCACTCAAATAAACATGTGTTAGAGAAGTTACAAGCCATTTTCATCCTTCATTGAATTTAGACTCTATCTTGTATGATGCAACATGAAGGACGGACACACAATTTAATCAAATATAAATGTAGGAGTTAATTAAAACCATAAAAAGTACTACTAGTATAATGGTACTTATGATAAATCAACTTAATTATTTCCAATTTGGTTTAATGTATTTTTTGCCTTCTAATTAAGTGCATATAGTGTTTGATATTTATAATTAGTTGTTAAAATTCATTTCTAATTCTCATCATAAATATAAATTACTTCTATATAGTCAACTGTAGTCTAGTAACTATTATATAGAGAAAATAATTATATGAACTTTAATTTTGTGTTTTTCTTTTCATGACTGATTCCAAATTTTGGAAACAAGGGTACAAGTAGAAGTGTGGGGAAAAGATTTCTTTCACAACTCAAGAGTTGTTTGTTATGTCAATGCCCATGTCAGTCTGAGGTATCTTAATTCTTGACGTACTCTCTTTTACTCTAAGTTATTTGACATTTTGTTTCAAGCAACATCATTTTCTCCACGTGCATGTGAAATTTCCTTTCAAGTCTAATTCTTTATATGTAATATTGTTCCACAGTTTACTGAGACGGGTCTCTATGCAACAGTTGATTTAGATAAAGCAAGAGTTGGAAGAACTAGATTGTTAAATGGTCATCCTTCCAACCCAACTTGGTACGAGACCTTTCACATATATTGTGCCCATTTGATCTCCCATGTTATATTCACTATCAAACGAAAAGACCCAATTGATGCAACTCTAATTGGAAGAGCTTATGTCCCAGTTGAGCAAGTTGTAAAAGGCAACATAGTGGATACATGGGTCCAAATATTAGACGAGGATCATAACCCCATACCAAGTGAATCTAAAATCCATGTCAAAATGCAATTCTTTGATGTTATGAATGACGTAAATTGGTCTCAAGGAATAAGGAGTCCAAGGTTTCAAGGAGTTCCTCACACATTCTTTAGTCAAAAAAATGGTTGTAAAGTTACTTTGTACCAAGATGCCCACGTTTCAGATGGTTTTATGCATCAGATCCGATTATCAAGAGGAAAACCTTATGAGTTTAGGAAATGTTGGGAAGATATTTACAACACCATTATGGACGCTAGGTACTTTATTTGCATAACTGGTTGGTCTGTGTACACGGAAATAACCTTGATTAGGGACCCAAGGAAGTCTAGAATCACTCTCGGGGAACTACTCAAGATGAAAGCTGAGGAAGGTGTTATGGTTCTTATGCTTGTTTGGGATGACAGAACCTCTGTGCCAGATTTCAAGAAAGATGGTTTGATGGCAACCCATGATCAAGAAACTGCTGATTACTTCAGAAACACAAAGGTGAATTGTGTTTTGTGTCCACGAAACCCGGATGATGGGAGAAGCATAGTGCAAGGCTTTGAAATTTCAACAATGTTCACTCATCACCAAAAGACAATAGTTGTCGATAGCAAAGTTGTTGGTGCTGCTATGGGACAATTGCAAAAGAGAACAGTAGTAAGTTTCATTGGTGGCATTGATCTTTGTGATGGGAGGTATGATACTCAGGAACATCCTCTATTTTCAACTTTGAACACAATCCATCATGATGATTTCCACCAACCAAATTTCCCAAGTGCTTCCATCAAGAAAGGTGGTCCAAGAGAGCCATGGCATGACATTCACTGCAAGTTAGAAGGGCCTGTTGCTTGGGATGTTTTGTTTAATTTTCAGCAAAGGTGGGAGAAGCAGGTTGGGAATCAAATCGTGTTCCCTTCAAACATGTTTGGTGATCACTTTGTCCCTCAATCTACTGTGCCAACAACAGATGAAAATGAAGAATGGAATGTTCAATTGTTTAGATCCATTGACGGTGGTGCTGCTTCTGGCTTCCCCCAAGACCCAGATAAAGCGGCTGAACTAGGCCTTGTTAGTGGGAAAGATAATGTCATTGACAGAAGCATTCAAGATGCTTATATAAATGCTATTCGGCGTGCCAAAAACTTCATCTACATTGAAAACCAGTATTTCCTAGGGAGCTCATATGGTTGGCAAGCATCTGATATTAAAGTTGAGGATATTGGCGCATTGCATCTTATACCAAAAGAGTTGTCATTAAAGATTGTTAGCAAAATTGAATCGGGAGAAAGGTTTTCTGTGTATGTTGTTATACCAATGTGGCCAGAAGGCATACCTGAGAGTGGTTCAGTTCAAGCAATATTAGATTGGCAAAGGAGAACAATGGAGATGATGTATGCTGATATAGCTAAAGCCATTCGCAAAAAAGGAATAGAAGCCAATCCAAGGGACTACTTGACCTTCTTTTGCCTTGGAAACCGTGAGGGTAAGAAAGATAAAGAATACACACCTACTGAGAAACCAGAGCTTGTTAGTGATTATAGTAGAGCACAAAAGTCTAGGCGATTCATGATCTATGTTCATGCCAAGATGATGATAGGTAAGGAATCCAATCTAAGACCACTTAAGTATTTTGATAAAATTGTTGATTTTTACAATAATTAATAACTACTTTAAAAGTTACACACTTACACTTTATAATTTCTTATTAGTGGATAGTTTAAAGAATTTAGTGCCAAAAAATTAAGCTTTTTTCCATATATTTTATATATAGTTGCAGTTTTTTTTGTCCTTTCATATTTAGTCATGATATGAAATTAACAAATTGCGGTGACTTTTGCTTCCTTCAGTCGATGATGAATACATAATAATTGGTTCTGCCAACATAAATCAAAGATCAATGGATGGAGCAAGAGACACTGAGATTGCAATGGGTGCATTCCAACCACGTCATGGAGCATATAACGAGTCACCCAGAGGGCAAATATATGGATTTCGACGAGCACTATGGTATGAGCACCTTGGAAATCTTAATGAAGCAAACATCTTTGACTATCCAGAAAGTGTGGAGTGCATCAGGCTTGTGAATCATCTTGCTGAGATGAACTGGGACATATACTCAAAGGAAACTTTTGATGAGAATACAACATTTAACCACCTCATGCGTTACCCTATAGAAGTAACTTACAATGGAGCCATAACAATCCTTCCGGGCCTTGAATATTTTCCTGACACTAAGGCTAGAATTTTGGGTTCCAAATCAGATTACCTTCCTCCAATTCTCACCACCTAGCTTGTATTGTACTTATCAAAGTCACTACCCAGCTAACCAAGTTTAAAAGTTTTAAAAGTCAAACCATGTAATTAATTACTTGTTGGGAAAAGGGTAATGACAAATTGATTGTACATTCTTTTAAATAATTGTTAGCATTTATATAATTAATAAATGTAACGTTATTTTTTCACACTCCGTTTTTTTTTATTAATTATCCCTACCCTGTAAATTTATAGTAAATGATAAAAGATGAAATATTAAACTTTTTACTTTTCTTTATATCATAAAAGATGAACAAAATTTAGATATTGTATATATAGTATTGGTGGTATGTTTCTCAAAACTAAGATGAAATGTCCATTTTAACGATATCGCAACGAAATATTGGTTTTTATTTAGGATTAATATTCACAATATTTATCATATTTTTTTAAATTTGTAAAAAAATAACATGCTTACGAATAATATAACAAAATTACTGGAAAAAAAATTACAAAATTTGAGTTAAAAAAAAACGTGTTTCAAGTAAGAATCTTTATAATATTTAATGTGGAAGATCAAATTGTTTCAGTTCCATTATCTGAATATCAAAATGTTTGTTTATCCTAGATGTAGTATTGTATGTAATTAATTATCTACGTATCTCATTTATTTTTCATCGTTTCGCTTTACACGCATATAAAAAGATTATTACTTTATCATTCTAAAGAGTTTAGTTAACATTCTGAAAGAAAATATTTTACAATTTGATGGCATAAAATTCCATTGATCTTATCTAAGTGCACACAAACCCTTTTGTTTCCACCAAAGGCCAAACATTTTTATGATTTCGAGAAGGGGGGTACTGGAGTTTTTCTTCAAGCGTGTCATTGTCATCTTTGATGTTTATTTTCTTAATCAGTGTGTTTTGAGACACAAAACGTTTCGCTTATGTAATCAAATAGGCAGAATTTGAGGTTTCTAGCTGTACTAGTAGTTGATTCTGTTCCAATATTTATTTTTTATTGTTAATATATTATTATCTGGAACCAAATTACCAAACAAACAACTAGAATATAGGCTTTTGTCCCCGTCTATTATTTTCTATTTTGCTTTATTTGATTCTGAGAGATTCTCTGTTTTTTCATTAAAAAAAAAAAAAGGAAACAAAAGAACATTGTGCATGCAGATTATTGAATCATCTTCTTCCTGGATTCAGAATTTTAGGTGACAGATCTCTGCTTTGATTTCCGTAAATGCATATCTGTGGATATGTTCCACCTTGGCTCTGTCAGATTTTCGCTTGCATGGGGTCAGTTATTTGTTCTCTCTTTCTCTCTCTCTTTTTTCGTTTGGTCCCAGAAAAGAAAAGTTAGAAAGATTGAATTTTTCACATTAATATACTTGTATGGTTCTACCCACTTTGACTAAACCATAAAGGGGATCCCTTTAATAGAGTTTACTCAGATTCCTGGGTGAGTTTGTTTTTTGGTTTTAGAACAATTTGATGCAAGGAAATGAACTCAGAAATGGGGTAAGGCCAGATCTAAGATCACTTGCCTATGCCTCAAAGGAAGGCATAGAATACAATCGGTTGCTTTACTTGGATGATGAGGTGTTGCTGATTTTGTACTTTTTGAATTATAGGAAACAGAAAAGCTTGATATTTATATACTTTTTTTTTACTGGATATTTTTATATTATTTTGCCTCTTCTGGGTAATTTAATTCAAGGTTTTTCTCTTTAGTTTTAGTACTTGTTAAATCGTATATGGGAATCTTTGATTGTACTTTGCTTGCTTTCTAAGCAAGCGTGAGATCTGGTGATCAGGAAAACTTGATGGGGCTTTACAGTTTGTTACTCTTTCCTTGTATTCCCCCGAAGCTGGTAACTTGAAACATAGAATTTGGCTGCCTCTATAGGGTTTCATAGTATTATAGGTGCTGTTTGTTAATTCAATTGAGAAGATGCTCCATAAAGAAAGCTGTTAATCATTTTAGCGTTTTGCCATGCTTAATTTGGTTCTTCTGCTTTCTGCCATGGACAAGATAAGGCCCCAATTACCAGGGGCTTTTCAGTCTAAGGAGAAATTGTTTCATTATTTAATTTTAGGAATTTATTGTTGCTCAAACTGCATACATCTTATCATTTTATAAGATGTATCTTTCTGCTAAGTAATCATGGATTTTGGGTGGATAAAATAGAAATAAAAGACAAGTTTTTGTTTCTGAGCATATCTAAAGGTCTTAAGTGTGAACCTGATGTTGTATTCCTGGCCTCTAAAGCCTGGATACAACCCTTATTTATTCTCTCTTGTTGTCCATGTGAAGTTTTTGTCGATTCCAATTTATAGGATATTAGCATGTGCCTTTATCATTTTCCATAATTTGCTCCTTAATTCTTCCATGTTTCTTGAGTTTTGACATTAAAAGGCTTGAGGGTGAGGTTGTTTCTTTTTATCTATATGTGCATGAAATAGTTATCAAATAGTTTATATTTTAAACACAAATTTATAAAATGAACTGGCTGATTTAATTAAATGAGTCAGTTAACGAATACCTCTGAAGGCATTGGCTGTTGTCTGTAAACAGAAAACTGAAATCCAAGACCTGTTTCTTATAATGCAGAGGAGAAAGAGTCTCTTCAGATACAAACTTATAAGAGCTTTTGAGAGTTTTTCTACCGAAAATAAAGAAGTTTTTCTAGTAGAGAAGCTCTCAAAAACACACCTAACTTGTATCCAAATAGGCTCATACAAACAGGCTCAAAGACACACAAGTTATAAGAGGAAGCTTATATTGTTCAGTATGCTAATTGACTGAGAAAGCCTCCAACAAAAATATCACACCAAAATAATATATAAGTGAATATACCCTCAAAGTAGGCTGTTGCATTCTCTGTGATTTAGTTTCCCTTAAAGGTATATATGTATTATTTAGGTCTAATGAGAACTAAAATACAGCAAATGGAGTCAACCCCTCATGCTAGGTTATGCTGATCAACTTGATTTTTAATTGGTACCTGCAATCCAAGTTGGTAGGCTAATTATAGTTAATAGTTTGTGTTAATCAAGTTTGTGACTAAACCTGCTTTGCAACAGAACAGAGGTTGTCTGGGATGCTTCCCAAACCCTCCTTTAATTAAAGGCCAAGCAATGAACAGAGACATATCAGAAGACTTTTGGAGCAGCAGTGCTTTTGAAATAGATCAGACTGCATTTCAGTCCCAGAAAAGCTTTTCATCAATTGGCATACCTTCTGATCCTCAAAGTAGTGCTGGCATTCAAATTGATTCTCCTGAATATGTCAATCATGGCAAGTTTTCTGTTTTAGTCAACTTATCTATTATCTTAGTTAGTCTCATACACTATCAAAGGGTGCTTGTAATCATTTATCATCTTGGTAAGCCATTTTTTCTGATGTGGAAACAATCTTGCTCAAACTGTCAATAGGATCATGCCAGACTTATTTGCTAACTTTCAGGTATTTTAATATTTTCATGGAGTTTTTAAGTTGAACTTCGTGATCCCGGAGGGACAGTTACAATTCTACTACCTTGAAATAGCTTGAACTTCACACTTTTAATACTGGTTCTGCAATGCACCTGCTACTTTGTGCTTTTGTTTTTTCTTTCATTATGTTTTCCTCCTCAGGCAAATTGGTTACACAGCCATTGATTGTCTTCCTTGTAATTTTACTCCTTTCTCTTTGTGCCTTTTCTTGTAAACCGTGTTTACATTTTTCATCTTGATGCAATCTCTTTAATATGTAACTGCTATTTATGGAACTTGAAATTAAAAACTAGTTTTTAGGATTTACTTTGATCTGCATGTATGCTTTTATTTTTATTTTATACAATACTCCTTTCATTCTTATATTTTAATGTTTTATTGCATATCTATCAGCTGCTATTATATAAATATATGCAGGTCTTCTTCTCTGGAACCAGATGAGGAAACAGTGGGTTGGAAATAGAAGGCCTGGGAATAAGAAACAAGTTGGAGAACCAAGAATAAGGTAAATCAATATATAAGCTTTCTGCAGGGAGCCTTAGTGCATGTTTGGTTTTCAATTGGGATGCCCCAATGTACATTCGGAAAGCGAAGCTGAAAAAGACTCCTATATGGTTTTCAGTTTGATCTGATTATAAACCGAGTTTTGTCTCAATGTTACCTTAAAACTCCATTCTAAATGGAACTAAAAAGAGAGTCGCCTTTGAACAAAGCCTTTAACTATTGAGCTGAAGAATAAACAATTTGCAAGGCAAATATATAGCATTGCATGATGTTTTCCATTGATCAGTTTTTCCTTGGTCTGCGCTTTTCAAGTTTCATCCTGTTCTTGTTATTCAAATGATCAGTGGAAATTTTATTGTTTTGACCATAAAAACCTTTTGCTGTAAGTAAAAAAGCACGAATCAGGCAAGAGCATTTTCGGTACAAGTAGGGATATTGGTGCAGAGGTGGAATTGGTCTATAGCTATAGCATAACTCAATTCAGTTCAAAGTCACTTTTGAATATGTTTGTCAATTTCTAATTCTAATATTTTTGCTTTACAGTTGGAATGCCACCTACGAGAGTCTAATGGGGACCACCAAGCCGTTTCCCCAGCCCATTCCTCTCGGAGTAAGTTCTTGCAAGCATGAGAATTCTCCTCATGCCCATGTACATGACAAGAAGTTTTGTATCTATTTCTCTCAAATAATTTCTATAAAGCCCCACTCATTTAATGTCTATCAAGAAAGAAATAGATACAAAACATGACTCATTCTTGCATTCTAACTTGGTTATTTTCTGTTGATATTCATGTAGGGGTGTAAAAAAAAAAATTGAACCAGATTATAAAAACTGAACCCTTTTGAGAGAAACTGATCCAATCCACTTTGTACAAATGGTTCAATTAACCGAATCTTTTGTATAAAATTGCTTGGTTCCATTCGGTTTTTTCATATTTGAGTAAAAGTGGATAACTTAATCAGTCCAATGTTAAGAAATCCAATCCATCTTTAGAAAATCGAACCATTTTTTTAAAATGAATCCGTTCCATTTGTTACTTATGTAACTGATTACAATATCATACCTGACAGGAAATGGTTGAATTTCTTGTTGATATTTGGGAGCTAGAAGGCCTATATGACTGAGCAGACAAATCAGGTTGTTTATTTTTGTTTTCCTTAGATTTTGCAGGAGAGGGGAGGTATAGTTCATCCTACTACATCCCCACTGCATAGTTGTACATGGGGATGGGGTAACTTTTAAACTAAATGGGGTAATTCTTAACTAATTGGTTTTATTTAATCTCCTGGGGGCATCATTTCTACGTGAAATATATTACACCAATTGTGTAACTCTTCCTGGTTAAGGTGATTCATAGACATATCCACTTCATATGTTTTTAGACCTTGTAAATATAAATAAATTTAGTTTTAGTCTTCAATTACTTTTTATTATTATTTTTGGTTCTTATAAATTTTTGTTTTTTATTAAATGGTTCTTTTCATCACTTAATAATGAGGTGACATACATTTAATCATATCATGTCAACAACCATTTTGAAGTAACATTTTTAAAAATTTATGGAAATTAACACTAATAAAAAAAAATTGGAGGGTATTTAGTTGTATTTACATAAATAAAATATATCTTTCGCCCTAGACAAATCATCTGCAGCAAAGGGAATAATATCTATGTTAATTTCAAGTTTCAACTGATGCAAGCTTCTGTCGTAAGTGCTGATATTTAAGAACTAACACGAGAGGTGTTATCAACGGAAGGGGAAGGACCTGTTTACGTTCTTGAACTGATATTTGTTAGTATTTCAAAATTAAGATCCAATGCTGCAAAAACAGTACTCTAAATTTGTGCATTAAAATAAACCATTAAGTAATAGCACTTTGAATTATTGTTTCAGTTTTTGCGATGAAGCAACTTGCAATGATACAATATAATTGTTAAACTTAGAAGAAGAAAAATCGTTATAATAACATAAGAAAATGAGAAAAAGGATTTATAAGTGTGAATGTAAAAGTCTACCATCAAGAATGTGTGAAGTGTGAACACAGATTTGTTTCTTGTCACGATAGAAGACTGTCACTTTTTTAATTAATTTTGGGTGAGTATTTAATTTGTATAATACAAGGAATAAGGATACTGTCAAATTCACCACTAGCAGAAGCAGAATCCATAGATGCACAATGGGTTCTGATTTAGGAGTGTGACTTTCAAATTCAGACGTCTCTTATGATAACAAACGCATTCTTTATCATCTATGTGGAATTGTGGTTATTTTAGTGGACCTATTTACGATCATACTATTGGGCCTATTAGCAACTTTCAACCCATAGTCCCATACCCTTAAACTATTATATTTAATTTTCTTTCTTCTTTTTTTGTATTTTTTTGACTGGGAGGGACAATTAACCCAAACTAAAATCCTTGGATAAAACAAACAAAAACAGTTTTAGCTAAACAAATTGAGGAAATTAACTTAGGAACTACATTTTTAAGAATTCTGGTAAGTTCAGACATTGTCAGGGTGTATGCCGTTTAGTTAGCTTCTCCAAATATGATCGATAGCCTAAGTGAGGTTGCTTTGATTTGAAAATTCCCAAATTTGACGCAAAAGAATGAAAGATGAAGTATATCACTTGTAGAAGAAGAATGTTAAATTTATCTAGCATCTTAGAGTTTCACGTAAGATTTAATAAAAAAAATACAGAAACTAATTTTCACAACTTCTACAAGATCCATTGTAACACGTAATTTATATAGTGTATGTTTGCTTTCGCAACACATCCGTCTCGATCAATCCACGTTTTTTTTCAAGTGAATTTGATGTTGGATGTAGTTTAAAAATGTATTTCTAAACACGTTAATGCTCACAATGCTATTTTAATTTACATCATATTAAGCTTAAACACACGTTTTAAATAAATTTATCCTTATATACTTATTATTTTCAATATACAAGGAATAGTCTTATCTTATTCCATTACTTTTTTGTATCTTTCATTTTCTTTTTATCTTTCTTCATTTGTTATCTTTATCTTCTTCCAAAAATGTACTGATTCCATTAGAATGTCAGGTGACCTTGTTTTTCAAATTAAAAAACTTTTACATGCAGAATTAGTTTAAATAATTAAGTCAAATAACATAAGACATAATAAAACTTTACCATGTTAATAATCTTTTTTTATGGACCGTTTAATTAACATTAAGAAAAATGGGCATCTCATAATAAAATACAATTATAATTATAGATTAGAAATCACAATAAAAATATGCAGATATATGAAGTTAAAATGTTAATCCTCAATGCATTTTAGGAAGAAATATATAGTGTGTACGGCGATAGTGACATGCATGAAGAGGATGGCATGAGAAATATTGGAGTAAGAAGAAACAGCACGCTTCTTTATTATTTGCTGTGTCACAGACGTACAGCAGCAAGCCATGGTGATGTTGCTTCATAGGCAGCATGCACCTTTGACTCAAACAACATAAGGGGACTCAGACAAAATATACGCCAACCCTTTCTTTCTTTCTTTCTTTCTCTCAATTAAGAATATTCTTCCACCGATATTCATGTACTAATTCATGTTCACGATTATAAATTATTTAAGTCTTAAAAATCTCTTTTATACATGCAATCAGATAGTAGAATCTATGTTAAATACATAAGCAACTCAGTTATTTGTTGTATTGGATTTCTTATCAATTTAGGAAAGCACTATCTTACTTGTAAAATATTATTGAAAATTATAAAATTTAGTTTGTCCACTCCAAGAGACAAAAAAAATGTTAAAAATCTTTCAATTTAAAAATAAAAATTATGATTCATTCATACTAAAGAAATAGTTTCATTATAATCATGGGTGAGTACGAGAGAATCTTCGAAAAGTTTACAAAATAGTGTATATATCTAGCTAAACAAACTAAGCATAATTGCTTAATTGCTTATAAATGAAAAATATTAAAACTAAGTATTTATGATGGTCTGTAAAAATATATGTATAATTTCGTACGAACAAGAAGGCATGAAAAGGGGTGTGAAAGAGAGGAGCGCAGAATAAATCATGGTGACCCTGTAACCTCCAATTTGGACTCTAATGCCGATTAACATGTTTCTTGATTTAAACGTGTCTTAATAATTTATGGTATAATGTTTAAGAGAAAATAAATTGACAGAGTTGATGCAGTAATGTTTATGTCCAATTAGTAGGTGTCCTTTGCTTTCAACAAAATTACTTTTCAAATATTTAATTAATAAAATTTACATATATGAAGATCATAAAATAAAATAAAAATAAAAAAAGAAAGATGTACGTGGGGCAATTGGAGAATGAAGATTGAGAGATAAGATGAGGATTATTGTGAGCAGTGGTATCATTATGAGGTTCAAACCTGTCTATCACTCGTATTCTCGTAATGGCTCTTCAAAATTGGAAACGCCACTCATAACAAAAACTCTGTGGTTCTCATTCATCTATCTATATATCTTTATAGAACGCATGCTTCTGAATTTTCCTGTCTACCACACTTTCCTAGTTTTCATATATTTCATGTGGAATACAATAGTCACTGCTCTCTCACACTCTATCATGGTTACGTAACTAAAACTTTCACCCACACCACCAACCACCAACCTAGCTATTACTTTGAAAATTTTGCTCCTCCACACTTCAATTCAGAACCTATACTTCAAAATTTAAAGGTTTTTACTATTTTTAAATTACTTTAAAGACTTTATTTATAAAAGGATCTCAATCTCGTCCAAAAATATGAACAATTTTAGAATTTAAGATACATGATTATATATATAATATCAATATGTTCTCACAAAAATAATAAAATAAAATGTTTTAAAATTTTTAGCTCCTCGAATTTTTTTCACAAACTTCTTTTTAATATTAATAATATTATTATCACCGTTATCATTATTATATCATTGTAATAATATTATTATTATTTAATTTTAATGAAATATATAATTAATTTAATAATATTATATTTATTAAATATAACATATTTATCAAATTTAATATATTTATATTTTTAAATGAATTTATTTATATATATATTGTTTGATGATGATAGTGGTATTAATAGTAACAATGGTGACAATAATATTGATTGTAACAGTAGTGACAAAAATAATGATAGAAACAACAATAATATTAGCAATATGTGATAGTTTTATTTATAATATTTTTAATTTAAATTATTTATTTTAATTTAAAGATTAACCTACACATTCATTTTATCACATAAAAATAGCATTCTTATAATATATATTAACTATGTGTATAAATATTATATTTAATTAAAAAAAAACAAAGATGTATTAACTTTCTTTGTTTTTTTAAAATATTTTGTATATATGAGTTAGACTACCCCTTGTACTATTGTTAATTATATTTTACTTATAAAAAATTATATTTAATTAAAATTAAAAATTATTAATGTTCAAAAAATTAATTTATGAAGTATATTTTAAAATATAAAAGTTCAAAATTATATTAATATGACATTGATAAATTGTATAAATATAATAATATTTATTTCAAAATCTCTATTCTTAGTTATTATTTTTTTTTAAAATTAGTTTTTCCCATCAACAAAATTTATTTATATATATATATTAAAAAAAAATAGTCATCAAGTGAGTGATGGAAAAACTAAAACTATTTTAATTAAATATATTTTAAATCTTTAAAAATACTTTCAACGGTCTTATTTATTAAATTAAGTAGGATAAATATAAAGCAGTGTAAAATAAGAGGATTGAAAAGTATAATATTTACATTTACATCTTGTATAAAAGAAGTGTAATTTAGCATAATAATGATTCAATTGTATGTTGATCAACATTAAAAAAAAAAAAAAACGATGTAATGTTGACATTTCTAAGAAGGGGAAAGTATAATTTCCTTTAATTTTATTTATTCTCTATTTAAATATGGAGTGATCGGCTAAAACAGGCTTCTATTCCAAGTAATTGATTGCTTAAATGATCATTATGATTAACCTAATAAGGTGGTTAAAACTAAAAGATATTGAATAGTCAAATAGAGGAGGTACAGTTGCAAATTGTGGGTGAGTTGGCAGCATCACAAGAAAGATATTGAATAATCCTGAGCCCTAGGTCCAAGTCCAAGGTTACAATTTCAACTTTCAATGAGGGATATGACTATATAATATATTAACCCAAGTGGACGACAATCTTGGAGGATAAGGGGATCTCTTATGTTAATCATATATAATCCAAGTACATTGCATGTTTGTGGGGTGAGAGACCATCATTCATATTATAATTATTGCCATGACCTAATCTAGGTCAAAATTAGTTGGCAGGCAAAGGACTTATATAAAAAACGAAGGATGGTGCTCATCTTTTTTACCTCCAACCAATAAACCTCGAAATACACAACAATCCCA